TCTCCTGAAGTGAGGTAACTCTGGAGACGCTGACGTTGATCGAGAGTCATTGGGACAATTGAGGAAATGCCTCCGGTTGGACCTGTTGTTCAACCTGAGGCATGCAAGGTTTTTGAACCGTTTGTTTTACCTCTACGTCTCAAAACAAGCTTCCTTGAATTCAATGAATTTAGATTCTCCTGTAAAAGTGGATAAATCTCCATACCTTAACACAATTCTGAAGATTTGTTTCAATCTTCTCAAGCGCCTGGAAGGATGTGAAGCCATACAAAAATTAAACTGGAGGTGTAGTCTCAAGGCACTCAAAATTTATTATTTTGCTTGACCCACGTAACTTCCGGAAGAGAACTAGATTGTCTAGTTTCTCTTCCTAGAGCAGACTTCGAGGAGTCGCCCCCAATGCCACTAGGGCAGAACGTGTGTCTTTTGGGATTGCTTAAAAATATTTTATCTGTACGGATCAACGGTTCGGTGGAGATGAAAGCAATCTCTGAATTCAAATTTGGTGGATATTGCCATAGATCTGTGTAATTTGTGCTTCTACAAATTTGAGACCAGCCAGAAACTCCAACGAGCTTCCAGATCACTCTGAAAAGAGATCTCGGCATCATGAGGCGTCGAAACCCAGAAACTCCTATATTCCTGAATCGAGTTCAGGTGGAATATTATTTTGGAGGTTTGGGGCCTTGAATAATGTGTCAGATGCAGATGCAACAATTGCATTTGTAATTGAAGGCTTAGAGCCTTACTTTAATGCGTCAGGCGCAGATGTACCTATCATAATAGTAGTAGAAAGCTTGGGGCCTTGGATCAATGCGTCAAGCGCAGACATTCAACTAATTTGAAAATTTTACAAAATTAGTTAAAAAGAAATTGTATTCAATTTAATAAAATTAAATAAACAATTAATTATACATGATAGAAGGAAATGATGTGCAGAATAACCATTCGGAAGCATATTGCTAATGCATTAGCAAAAATTACTATACTATATTCGATACGAGAGCAATTTGCCACTTGTTTCGTGAAGATTTATACAAAAATTCCGAAAAATCCACACACGCACACTGCCATAAATATTTTCTAAAAATATCATATCTTGACGTTTCATGACATTGTACATCATTTCCAAGCAAAAGTAGATCGTAAAAATCGACGATTACAAAGCTCCCATTCGGAAGCAAAAAGAAAGACTAATAACGCAAAAAGTAGCGGTCACTTGCCTTCTGTTGAAGAGGCTCGAACCCCTGCTTATTTCTTTTTCTCATATTAGGCACTGGCTCTTCATCACTGATATTTTTTCTTCCGAATAGAAGCTTTATAATCGTCGATTTTTACTATTTTCTAATTTTGCTTAGAAATGATGTAGAATATTATGAAACGTCAAGATATGGTGTTTTTAGAAAATGTGTGTGTGTGTATGTCAATGTGCATGTGCGGATTTTTCGGAATTCTTTTATAAATCTTCACGAAAAAAAGAGTAACAACGATGCTAAAAATCTGAAATTTTCTGAAGTAATTGGCATTGTTTGGGAGCATATCTGGGCGAAATTTCAGCTCAATCGGTCAAGTAGTTTTTGAGATACAGCAATTTCTCCAAAATCTTTTTTTCTCAATATCTCAAAAAGTACGCGACTGAATTAAATTTTCTTAACGTCAAAATATTCCTTATGATAATATTTATCAAATCAAATCATAATATTTCTACCGAACCAGGATAACTTGGTAGTAATTGGCATTTTTTATTTTTGTCATAAAATCGGGGTAAACATGATAACGCTCCAAAAAATTGAGATAGAAAGCTTAAATTTTGTACGATTATAACTCTTATTGTACGACAGGCTGGTATTATGGAGGGGCGAAATCGGACGGGTAGTTTAGGAGATATTTATTAAGTGTACGACTTAATTCTCGGCCAATAGATTAATTTGATTAGAACACCTATTTGAACTAAAAAATTTCCCCGCAATGAAGGGCGTTTTGAAGCGCTATCGGTGAGCTATCAAACCACTCAAGTCCGATTGTGGTCCGGTTAATACAACCTCAAAAAACATAGTAAATAAAAATGTCGTTCGACAAGCAGCACTTGAAGCAGTCCCTTCTTTTCACCTTCCAACTTGGAAAAATTACTACAGAAGCACAAGAAATGATTTGTTCCGCCTTGGAAGAGAGTGCTGTATCTTATAGCACATGTAAAAAGTGGTTTAAAAAATTTCGGGATGGGAATTTTGATCTCCAGAATGAACAACGTCCTGGGCAACCAAGAAAATTTGAGGACGAGGAGGTGGACAACCTACTTAATTAAAACTCTGTCAAACACAACAGGAGCTTGCTGATACTCTCGGAGTGAGTCAATCAGCTATTTCGAGGCGTTTAAAAAGAATTGGGAGGATACAGAAGGAAGATCGCTGGGTGCCCCATCATCTTAACTCAGAAAACAAAAGTTGACGCTGTGAAATTACCATGTACCTACTGACCAGATTCAAACAAAAAGACTTTTTACTTTTTTTTATCCTAAGAGGCGAAAGTCGTGGGTTTATCCGGGGGAGCCGTTAACGAGTACTGCAAATCCAAACATTCACGGGAAAAAATTGTTGTTGTGTATTTGGTGGGATTCCAAAGATGTAATCTATTATGAGATACTCGAACAGGGGAAAACCGTCACTGCTATGTGTTATTAGGACCAACTGGTGAAATTGAGTGATGCTATTGAGGAAAAGAGGTAGTGATACGAGGCAAGTAATTTTGCTGCAGGACAACGCGCGGCCACACACAACAAAAAAAACCCTGAGAATTATCTCCACGTTGGGCTGGGAAATTCTCCCACATGCGGCGTATTCTCCAGACCTTGCGCCATCTGGCTATCACCTTTTTCGGGTGCTACAACATCACCTGGTGGATACCCAGTTCCAATCTCGTGAAGAAGTCCGGTAGAGCATTGATGACTTCATCCAGGCAAAACCACCTTTTTTTCCCGAGCCGAAATCCGACAATTGCTCGGTAGATGGGAGAAATGCGTGCAAAGTGACGGCGATTATTTTCAAAATTGGATCTGTATTCATTTTGTTATAAATAAATGTCAAAATTGGTGAAGAAAGGCCGAGATTTAAGTCATACACTTAATAACTTTTTGTGAAAATAGGTTTTGCTTAATATCTCCTAAACCACTGGTCGGATTGAAAGAAAATGTTTTTTTCTCAAAATACTCGTCTCGATGTACACTATCGCGATCAACCAAAATATGGATAACCGTTCATACAAAGTTTTCGAGATATTCGTGTTTTTTCTAATTTTTTCATCTCAGAGTTGATTTAACGTACCACAATACACGAAGAAGGTGGAAATAGAATTCAAAATTTTGGGTAATAGTTTAATACCATTCAGTCACACTAGTGCATAAAATTTTGCGCCAATTGATTCAATATATTTTGGCATAGAGCAATTTAAGTGAAAATAGTTTTTGTCAAAAAATCAAACATCGTCATTCTACCAATAATTTTCGAATCTATAGGACTTAAGTCATCTACCGTAAAATTATGTTCTTTTTTGCTTCAGATTATGGTAATGTTTAATACTATGACAGATACAAACGTGTAGAGGGTCGAATTTTGTAACGATCAGGGATTTTGACAGTTTAGGAGCTTTAAGCGTCATGTATTCTGAAAGTGAATTCTGTTCTTCATAATCTCCCATTATGCTCGCGCTATTCACCACGCAGGTTTCCTTTTTCAGCAACATAAAATATATGTCTTTTTCGGTTCTGAGTTGGTCTTCGGAAAATATGTTGATAAATCAACTTTACGTTTCAATTTTTAAGAGTAATAAATATGCCGAGAATCGTACACTTCAAAAAATTGCTAACAAAACATTTGTAAGCTTGCTACCGATAAAATTGGTAGGAATAGGAATATAGAAAAGAAAAGAACTAACAACGCAAAAAGAAACTGTCACATGCCTTCTGTCGGTTAGGCTGGGATCCCTGCTTGTTTTATTTCTGTGAGAGCTATGTAGAAATTGCTACTTGACCTCGACTACTGTACTTTAATTCGTTGAACCCAGGAGGAAGGAGATTTTCTTCCGAATCCATCTCGACCTTCAAAATTCATCGGATATTTCCCTCAAGTTTTTTGGCGTATTAGCGATCGGGATGAGTTTTGCAGATAAATCATCCCTCTCGTTGCTACACAACGAAGCTTTCAAAAAAATGCGATAATTTTGAAGGTATTACAACCGAAATTTTTGCTTTACCGATGGGAACCCATTCTTCGATTTGTTATTTGAAATTTCCGACGTCGGCTGGAATTCTGATGCCTTGCTGTTAATGAGGGTAGCGTGGAACATCTTCTGCAATGACTGTTCTCGACACCTATACGATATATTCACAATATGTGGAATAAAACCTGTACGATGGTCAAAATAAAGATATTTCCTGTTCATTAGATTTTTATACGGTTATTCATATGAAAACGATGACGTCTCGGAAAATATGGTATGGTTTAGCTTCTCTCGGCAAGTTGAGCAACTTTTGTAGGGGTGAAAAATGTTGTTGCCATTTCAGAAAACTGACTTTATGCTTGTAGCGTAGCAACGTAAGCAACGGGGGTCTAGATTCCATCAGCACTGCGTCTCCTCCTCCGAACCCTACAATTTTCATTTGAACCATTTTGCTATCTCTCCCTTCTTACAAAAGATATAAAGCCCCACTGTTTCAAATGAGACACCCTGTATATAATTGATTTCGTTTGAAGTGGAGCCAACCGGCAGTGTGATTAAAAATTACCTTCGTCACTCGACTAAAAAACTTATCCAGATTCGTGTGGTTAGTGCTAGGCTTTGCCTCGGTCTTGTGACGAAAATATACGTAACGAAATGCTACGTAGAACATCTGTAGTCCTGTATACATTTGTATACCCGGTTTAAATTTTTAGATTCAGAGTACATTTTTCAATCCATTACTAATGACCTAATTTAATAATTTAAAGAATTTTCGTGATTTGTAGAGGCAGCTGTAAAACACTGCAGAAACATCGCTCGTCAATATTCGTACTTCAACCAAATGTTCCAAACCAGCGGTACCAGTAATGATATCTCTCAAATACTGAAAGACGTCTTCAGCTATGAAGAATATCGGTAAGTCCAACATATTTTCGAACTTAACGTAACTAAAAAATCATCATCATTACAGAATCATGATTCGTTTAATTATACAAAATATGAATACAATTTTTTGATCAAGACTTTCAGGCATAATCGTGCACTTAGAATCCAATTTTTGGGATTTTTATCGGGATTTGGGATTTTTTTTTATATTAGCATCAATATATAGCATTGTCATTAAATAATATAACTTTTAACCTTACGTATGAGTTTGCAAACATCTCCGACACTGAGAGAAAAAAAAATTGTTCTCAAATAATTCATTCTAATTCATTCATTGGCAGCTGATTCAATCGGCATTTACAATTTCTTAATTTTTATAGTATTGTATTTTGATGGTATAATAACAACTCATGGACCAAATGGTTCTTGATAAACTTTTCTTTATAAGAGATATATTCATCCTGAAAAGGCACCATCTGGTGTGAATGATCAGCCTCTTGAGGAAAATATTTCGTTATTCTGGAAAGCAGAGTTATTACACAGTCCTATAAAATTCAGAGATTTTTGGTACAAGGATGAAACTGCCACCACTCGAAAGATTTCTGCATATTGATTACGCTGGTCCAATTTCATAAAATGACCTAGTTTCGAAGAAAAAATGTCAAAGCCCTCAAAATGACCCAAAATCGCTTTTTCGCAATTTAATTAAAAAATAACACTTGTGTCGATTGAACTGAGAAAAAAAACGAAACGACCAGAAATTTCATTTTCAGATGCGGTAGAGTAGTTTTAATCAAAAGCAGGAAATTATTCATAATGAATTCCGCATTTGTTCAACAAAATTGTACTATCAAACGAACTTACCTGTAAGTGAAGTTCGATCGTGATCATATGAAGAGCCTCGTCAAGAGATTTTAATAACTTGTAGTAGCCCGCCTGCGGCTAGATGGAGCTACACGCCTTCAGAGGCGGTGAGGGCTCAGTGGCTTTTCGGCGGTGAGGGCTCGCCATCTTATCATTAGTTTAAAGTTAAGCAATAGTGTAGAAAAAATTGGACGGGTTTGGGGTAGCTAGTGGGGAGGGACTGAATCTCTCGACAAGGCTCTTCATATAATCGCGATCGAACTTCACTTACAGGTAAGTTCGTTTGATCGTACAATTATATTCGAGCCTCGTCTTCGAGATTTTAATAACTTATAGATGTTCAGAGATGATCAAATTTTTTCTTCTTGTTTTGTTGTTTTTTTTTTGTTTTTTAATAAACTCCAAATTTAATATGAATATTGAAGAGTTTAAAGACGAATGTTAATGGATAAAGAGAATGGTTATTGACTAAGCCATGTTCAATAGAATTTTGACAAAAAAGCTTTGATCAACCGCGGATACGGCAATTATAGAAATGTACAAATCGTACTTCTAAACCTTTCGAGACTTACTCGTTTTCTCACAGCAGCTGGAGTTGCTGTATACTTAGTAATGTAAGTTGAGAATCAGCTGTATCGACTCCAAGATGGCTATAGGACAATATAATCCGTTAGGCCAGTGTTTATGGAGATTCGCAGCTATAAAACTCTCTGAATGTAATGAACAGTATAGAGATGTTATATCTAAAATCTCAACATACTATAGAAAGCTATCTTAGCTGCGCAAAAATGATGCCTTTCAAAACAGAAAAGGAGAAACAGGCTGTGGATCGCCTGGACGAGAAGATTGCAACCTGCCTGGTATCGTGAAATCCAGATTAGACGCACCTTTGACACTGTTCTCAAGTTTAATGGCAGAAAACGCCTGTCGTCTCTGCGAAATACTCAAGGCCATAAGAAAGACAGATTTTCATTAAGATGAAGAATTGACAGATTTGCCTTGAGTGGGAAAGACCTGGGCGGTAGGTCAGAATATACTCAAGATACTATATGTGAGTGCATTGCGATTTACCAGGATGTAGTTTGAAAATTTGTTGAAGAACCTTTGGAATGTAAAATTTTTTCCCACTTTTTCTTGATTTGGTGGAGTGTACTGTTTCATACGCTGTTCCTTATTTGAACTCTACCATTAAAAATCTGCAGGATAATCGAACTAGATGTCGAACAGCAGTTAATTTTCTTTCATTTATAAAAATCCACAATTTTCCAAGAGTAGACTTTGTTAATGGCAAAGAGAAACATTAACATCAGTCATGACACATGCACCTGGTACCAGGTGAAAGTAAAAGATCCTTCAAGGATTTGATATCGTAATTTGTTTCTGAGATGGGATAAATGAAAGGAAGGAGGCAGAGTTGAACTATCTAACAGGGGGAGAGTATTATACCGTCGGTCTCACGATTGGAATTCTACGAATTGTAACAAATTCACTTGTTCCCAGGATAAATGTAGGGGATACGTAGAGAAAATTTTGTCACCAATCGAGACTGCATGAAAAGGTGTCAATCGACACTGCAAGGAGACTGGCGTGTTGCACGCATTAGAGATTACGTTGGTATTTTGACAAGAGGGACAGAAAAGGTCCAATTTTTGAATTGAAAAAATCCGTCTCACCTAAGTTTTGAAAAACTTAGATTGCAATGTACAGCTCCAGTATTCACTTTGGAAGGAATGTAAGATGCATTCGACCGAAGCCTTCGCAAAAGTGCTAAGACTCTCGAACTGATTTGTTCAGAGCAGAGAAATTTGTACCTTCCCACCCGTTAACGTAGGGGGTGTCTGTGATGTTATCAATTTGGAGTAAACACTTAGAGGATCATAGGTCGTGAAGAAACCCCTAAGAGCTAGGTGAATGGTCAAAACATTGAGTAATTTATATTGTTGTGACTTTCTCATACTGGCCAGATGTTTCGACTTGATCTTTTAGCGCAGAGGTAGATTTCCAACCTAAGAAGGCTGCGTCTGAAAGAATATTTGTTTCAGACTGATCAGCTCAAATAAGAACTACTAAGGAAGATCTGGCTGAGGAGAACAAGAGATCATTCAAAATTTCCATAATTAATCATCATCTTGACTTTTTTTAAATTCTTCCAAGTTTTTTAGTGTAGCGTATGCTCAATGCCAATGTAGACCCATACATTTTAAGGAGTTTATGAGGCCAAAACACACTCTAATGGATCAAATTGTTCGAGATTGCAGATGATGAAGTAGACTATTTATTGCGTAAATCGCAACACATAAAGTGTTTCTAGGCAAAACGTGTAAGAGTCATTGATAAAATTAAGGTATTCACAACGCTTTTTGCTTTTTAATACGGCTCAGACAAGAAAGAGCCTTGACAGTTTAATTTTGCATTGGTACCATACTCAATAGCCGGAAAACTAATAATAAAATATCATCTAGATAGCTGGATATGAAGCCTCTGAATCCATAAGATTCATGACCGGCCTCATGACTTTCGCGAAGCTAGAGAACTAGTCGCAATTCCAAATGGGGGGTAGGAAAATTGGAAAAAATACCACTCATGCAAAACAAAGGAACTTTTCATGCTCCACATGTCCCGGGGCAGAAAAGATACGTCTTTGAAGACATTTCCATCCGTGAATGTGTCACAAAGTATTAGTTTTGGAAGGGTTTTCATGTCCTTCAATTGAAATTATGAGTTCTCATAAATTTGTTCAACCTTTTAAGGTGAAAAATTAACCATTGCTAATCATTTGGTTCACCAAAAAAAAGTTACAGTAAGACGAGCTGATCTTGATAGGATTCTGATAGTAATATAGAGGTTTTAAGTACCTCTATGACCACATACCTGTTTATCCGCCCCTCAGGGCTGTCCCTTTCGTTCAGAGATTTGAAATTCTGGAGGATTTACCGATTGGTAAGGGCCAGAATTGAAGAGGCTTGTATGATATATCTTCAGTCTCTCTAGAATAATACTATCAGAACAGTTTAATTTCCAATTGGAAAGAAAATGCTCAAGAACGACTGCAGAGATTTTTGCCATTACTTCTTGCTCTCCTGAAGTGAGATAACTGGAGACGCTGACGTCGATCGAGAGTCATTGGGACGATTGAGGAAATGCCTCCGGTTGGACCTGTTATTCAACCTGAGGTATGCAAGGTTTTTGAACCATTTGTTTTAACTCTACTTCTCAAAACAAGCTCCTTTGAATCCAATGAATTTAGATTCTCCTGTAAAGGTGGATAAATTTCGAAACCTTGACACAATTTTGAAGATTTATCTTAATGTTCTCAATCTGGCCGAAAAATGTGAAGCCATACAAAAGTTAAACTGGAGCTGTAACCTTAACGACACTAAAAATTTATTATTTTTTTTGTTGATCCACACAATTTCTGGAAGTGGACTAGATTATCTAGTTTCTCTTCCTAGAGCAGACTTCGAGGAGTCGCCCCCAATACCACGAGGGCAGAACCTGCGTCTTTTGAGATTGATTAATGTTGGAAATCCTGTCAGCTGACAGGTCCCTCACACTAACGCACGCAAGGCTCATCCATTCTCTCCCCACTCACGCACACCTGACACACTCACCTCAGATGACTGGGGGTTATTAATTCCAGCACCTGAGGCGCCACTTCCTGGACCGCTCTAAATTACCATATGATCTATATTAAATTAGGTCATGTGACCATGGAATTACGGCACGTGGCACCTGTAAGCCCGTGTCTCTCCCTCATTCGTTTCCGGGATCTAGTTAGAGACACTTCTTTTATTGTACTGCTCTTCTCTAGTGACTCGGGTTAACTCACAGTGTCAGCTCAATTATTATCAATTCAAGGAATTAGTCGGCTCATTATTTACCGTCTGCTCAGTGACTCTATTTATTGTGACAGTGTAAATAACTATAAATATTGAACAATTATACGNTGTTCCGCTCATTTCTTGGTTCTACTCATCCCACTCCCCGTAATCCGACTCCAACTCATCCATCCGCACAATTAATTCCCCGATCCAGGCATCTCATCAAACAATTAAAAATTATTGTTTTCTATGGATCAACGGTTCGGTGGAGATAAAAGCAATCTCTGAATTCAGATTTGTTGGATATTTCCATAAATCTGCGTCATTCGTGACTCAACAAATTCG